TGGCCAGGAGGAGCACAGGGAAGGGCAGCCAGATCTTGTCTCCCATCCCTGCTGGGGCGAGCTTGGGCTGAAAGTGGCGTGGGAGGTGTAGATACTGGCGCCTCGGCTCCGCTTTTCTTCCCTGGACTCCTCGTGGCAGGGAGACTCAGAATATGAAGAAAGTTCAGGTGGCAGCCGCGGCGGCGGCAAACGCGCTGTGTGAAAAGTGCTGTCCTCCAAAGGGTAGGGCTGTTAAACTTCTTTTAAGYAGATCTTCATTAAGTGTCAGTCTATTTTGGAAATGGTGTGGCAGTTTTAAGACTATTTCTGCAAGACAACAAGCTGGTCTATTTCTGCAAGAAGACAAACTGGTTCATTTTTAACATTTGTTGACAACAGTAATGAGAACAGTGGTCATTTACTAGCAGGCAGGCACATTTTTGACATATCTCTTATTTTTAAAATGATTTTTTTAAAAAGCTATTATTTAGCCTTGATCTCAAAACCAGAGGAATTTGTCATTAAGTCACTTGTGGAATTTTTAAAGCTAGTCCAATTTGTGAGCATTTCCTCAGAATCCAGTTTGATGTTATTGTTGAGATAATAATTAGGTATTCCTTATGAAATAATATGGATTTCTGGAGAGTTGACCAGGTTCTATCGTACTTAAAATGAGAACAGTTTAGCAGTCTGAAAAACTTTAAATTGAGGCACGAGGTTGCATATTTTAATTAATATATAAAGTGGTTTTGTTTTTTGCAGGGAATTCACTATTGAAACGGAAGGGAAAACATTTCAGTTAACAAAAGACATGGTCAGTGTGAAGAGATTCCAGAAAACACTACATGGTAAATTTATGAAAATAGTAAAGAGACAAATATTGCTCCTGAATTTTTAAAAAAATGTTTTATGACATAATTTTATAGAAATTTTGAAGAGAAAAATTGTGGCATTAGCCACAGCCATAAATTTTGTGACTTTAAGACATTTTTTTAACATAATTGTACTCCCATTTAAAAATAATGTATAATACTGCCTTTATACTTCCAGTGGCTTGGGGTTCATTTGAAGAATATTTTTGATTAAGTTTCTTTTGTGGGAGTGGTGGGGTTGGGGACTTACTTTAAGGACAGTTTCTCTTGTTTTTTAAGAAAAAGAGGGAACTCACATCTGTCACCCTGGGTCATCTTTGGCAAAACAACTTTTTAAAAGGTTGTTGAGGCCAGTGATCTCTCATACTTTTTTAAAAGCTAAGAAGATTTTATTTGTGTGTTTCTTTTTTAAAGAATGAATTCTATGAATTGGGCAGTGAGTATTTTGGAATTCACATGAAGGATGATGGTGGTTTTTTGAGTGTTTGAAAAACTGCTACTCTGGAAAGAGCAGGCCTCTCTTTTCATGTGTTCATGCCTGCCTTCTTTCCAGGCCTGAGCAAGCAGGTGTGGGAAGAAGCAGGGGCTCCTCGTGCCTTGGTGCTTTAGCCATCATCCTGGCAGTTGTTTCAGAGCTGTGGTTCCTTATTAGGCGGCCATGGAAGAGTGGGCAGAAGAATACTGTAATTATAATTATATTTCCAAAATATATTCTCAGTCTTTATCACAGACCAAAGAATATCCTAGTGGGGCACAGTGGCCCACGCCTGTAATCTCAGCACCTCGGGAGGCTGAGGCAGGAGGACTGTGAGGCTTAGTGGTCAAGTGCCCCTGTGTTCAATCCCCTGTAAATCTGCATCCCCCCACCCCTCACCCCCCGCCAAAAGAAAAAAAGAAAGAGAGAGAAAATCTTCTTTAGAATCCATGAGCTTTTGGTCCTACTTATTATGTCTAAAATATAAACTCCCCATTGTCATAGTCAGGTTAACTTTAAACCTTAATGGTACTTGGTGCTTTCTTTTCAAATAGTAGTAATTATTAATTCATCTCTTGGGTTTACCACAGGTGTGTCTGATCTGTGGGAAGTGCCTTGGGGCCCCATAGAATGTGTTCTTTCCATGGGATGCTTCTCCCTGGGCAGGCTCTCTTCCTTTCAGGGCCTCCTGGGGGAGAACTTGGAGATATAATGCCAGTAATTTGGCTCTGAATGAGTTCTCACTAAGATTACAAGCTTAAAAAGTCAAAGATAGGCCCTGTTATACTGGTTGCATGTAATAATTGTTTTTATTAATTTTGTCAGTGTTGGTGATGGGTTTTTAATTGTGTCAAAGTCTTAATGAAAACTCTACATTTTTGATGCTTTCTGTAGAGGCAAGGCAGACAATAGAGTCAGATGGTACTTGCTTTCATTTATAGCTTATTAATTGGGGAAGAAATGCTCCTGTCAAGTTTCGTTTTTAATGCTATATGAACAAAGAATTAAATTTTGTGCAAATTTCTTTTACTTCAACTTTTTCCCCCAAGGTGACAATATTCCTACCAGGAAATAGCTTTTTTTTTTTTTTTTTTTTTTTTTTTGATGGTACTAAGGATTGAACCCAAGGGCACTCTACCTCTGTATTATATCCCCAGCCCTTTTTATTTTTTTGAGACAGGGTCTTTATCTGATGCCAAAGCTGGCCTCAAGCTTGTGATCCTCCTGCCTTAGCCTCCTGAGTAGTTGGGATTATAGGTGTATGCCAATCTGCCTGTTGGGAAATGGCTTTTATGAATGTTCTACTTTTTGCCATGATGTAGAGAGATCAAAATCCATCTAGAATAGAGATATATGTAGTGCTAAAAATTGTTTAGAGAGGATCCAAAATGCATTATTTGGTATTTGAGAGAATGTTATTGAATTTTTCTTGTACAGTGGAAGAAGTTGTTCCAAGTGTAATTGAACCCTCCTTTGGCCTGGGCAGGATCATGTATACTGTATTAGAACATACCTTCCATGTACGAGAGGGAGATGAGCAGAGAACGGTAAGCTGTCCTGTATGGTGTGCTCTTCCCTTAGAGTGTCAGAAAATAAAACTTATTGAAATACATCAATAAGACAGGAATGATCCATTAGTTATTATTTACTGTCATATGCTAGTGATTGATGTGTGCTCTCATCTTTGCTTAACTATTTACAAAACAAAGTATTTTCATTCTGAGTTTTAGCATGTGGTTATTCCGGAAGCCATTGTTGTAGTTGCCTGGTGCTCCTAATTCTAAGAACAAATATGGGTAACTGTATTGCATTGGTGGACGGAATGGTATTTTCTGGATATACTCATTTTCAGGAAATTGGGAATGATGAGAAATCTCATAGCATTGGACAAAGCCACCAAACTGTGTCTATATACTTGTAAAGCATTCAAGGGGACCCTTTTGTTACTGTCTAGGGGTGCTGGGTTCATTGTCTCTATTCAGCAAAGAATTGAAAAACAGGACACAGAGATAGCAAGCAAGAAGTAGATTTGTTGCAAAAGCGACAGATACAGAGATAAACTTCTCCCAAGAGAAGGAGCCCCAGAGCTGGGAATCCTGTGGGGGAAATTTGGGCCTGTTTTTTTTAATGGTTTCTGGAATTTCTTTCTTTCCTTATCTCCTCCCTTGTCCACATACTCTTCACTACTATTGATTGGTGCCCCCTTTTCCATGCATCTGTTTTTGTTTTACTATTGGATCCTACGCTTAGGAATACTCGTGTGGAAGTGTCTGTCTGACTGGGTCCCCTGTTTGTGTCCATGAGCAGGAAGTTGACCTCATCAGAACACCCTCTCCATGCTCCTTTGTTCTGCCCCTGCCCCTGACCTCCTCACTCACCATCTTGCCCTGACTGCCTGAGTCCTTCTGTATTTCCCTCACTTTCAAACTGCATCAAATTGTCTGGCATACTTTTGGACTAAATATGTAAATTCCTAGGTTCTATTCCATTGATTTCAATTGTTTTAGGCCTGAGACCCAGGGATCTGTGGGGTTTTGTGTTGTTAAATAAGAATCACTTACAATTCCAATGTGTGGGTCTGACAGGCCATAAATCAGGCAATATCTGGGAGATAGCTTTCCTGGTGTTCAGAGTGGAGATAGATGTTTATGAGAAGTCTAATCAGCTCCCGCAAGTTTAGTTTTGGCTGTGATGCTTTTGAGTCATGGCTCCATGCCTTTCACTTTTATCTTCTCATTCTGCCTTACCTCATCTTTCTCACCTCTGCTCTGCTTGCAGAAATTATATTCCTTTAATTTCTAGGGGGAGAGTTTTAGGCAAACTACTCAGAAGTGGCTTAAAAGGAGAGAGTGTATATATTAAGTAAACTTAAAGAAATAGTGTCATTTGCTTGACCATTGTAAAGCTGAGCACGTATGTAATTTTGAACCTTAACTCTGGTTCCTTCCAGGGCATTTAACCTTGAGGAATGAACTGGTGAGCTGTAGGTGCCAGTGTTTTAAAAAGGTCTGGCACACTATTGTAATATGTAGCTAATAAAGTTGCTCTTTTAATCTCTGCCCTAAAGTTGCATCTTCATTTCCTGACATGAAGGAATAGTTCTCATTCATTGGGCAGATACTAAGAACCTGGGCCAAGCAGCAGCCATACAAGTGTAAGCCTTGGTCCTTTTTGAGGAATGATGACATGTGTAACTGAGGTATTCTTTTTAGATGTCAAGTTTGCTTCATGCTTTTCCTGATTATTTTTCTAATAAAAAGGGTTTTAAAATATCTTTTAGCTGTTCCTTTGAATCTAACAATATTTATATAACTGGAGCTTTAAAAGACATTTCATGAAAGCTAAATAGGCATAAATTAGTTGCAGTGTTTTATGAATTGCATAGAGTCCCATATTCTCATGAAGAGAAATTTGATTAGGCTACGGGAAGCCAAAAATGTTTCTAAATTATTAGCACCTAGTCTCATGATCCATTTGCCTATAAATTTGGTATTGAAACATTGCTAGTGAAGTTGAAGAAATTATTTCCTATAAAAGCAGTCCTTCTCTCTCAAATTAAATAGAATTATCACAGGATGGAGGAGGAGAGAGAATTCTAGCATTCTGTGATGTGGGCAGCCTTGTTACTGGAGCACAAAGTTCACTTACAGTGGAATATTGGTCATTGCTTGGCATTAAAGTTTAGTTAAGCTTTAATGCCAAAGGGGCGCCAAATAGGAATCTGTTTCATTCTCTTTTTGCTCTACTGAGGACTGCACCCAGGGGTACTCCAGCACTGACCTGCATCCCTAGACTTTTTAAATTTTTTGAGACAGAGTCTTGCTTATTTGCCTTGACTGGGCTTGAACTTGGTAATCCTCCTACCTTAGCTTCCTGAATTGCTGGGATTACAGGTGTGTGCCACTGCTCCAGAAGCAGTCAGTGCAATGGTCTTGTGAATTAGAGAAAATGATAGAGATTGGCTTTTCAGTGGAGAAACTAAGGTTCAGAGAGAATTTACCAAGATCACCCAAATTCAAAGCTACCAGTGAATTTTTTTGATTCTGGTTCTCTTGTTTCTCTTTATAACACTGATTTTCATGCCATGTTTTCTGGCATTTTGATAGTGAAATTATGCTTGGACACCCACTGTGTGTAACATCTTATGGTTTGGGACATTGACATTTAGATATTTATAAACTAATATGTTTGGATTTATTTCTTTTTAAACCTTCCAGTTCTTCAGTTTCCCCGCTGTGGTTGCTCCATTCAAATGTTCCGTCCTTCCACTGAGCCAAAACCAGGAGTTCATGCCATTTGTCAAGGAATTATGTAAGCAAATCCAATTGGGTAATCTCCATGGGAACACCATCAAGTAGACTAGATTTTGGGAAGTGTATCATTTATTTCAATAAAAGTATAGATTGAATAAGCATAAATCTAAGCGATTTAGCTTCTGCTCCTATTTCTAAGAGAATGCTTTTCAAGATGTTTTATTCCAGCATTGAGTGAGTCACAGTAGGACTCAAGAGTCAGATTTAGTGGCTTCTCATGAAGCCCTTCTGCTCTCTTCATCAGGCAGCCTGAGTGAAGAGTAGCAGCTCCAGTGTATCTACAGCCACTGAGTCCATGGCACTGAACTGGACCCAGGTGTCATCTGATGCTGCCCACGTATTTCAGAGTAGGGAGACAGAAGAATCCCTTGAACTCCTCAGGGCCATGCATATGAAGGTAGTGGAGTCAGGACCTGCCTTCTGGCCTGGTGCCTTGATCAGCCCATACCACACAGCTGTGTCAGACGTGGATGGGAGGAAACACTTGGACTCCAGCAAGGGGTTTATTCATCTTCTTGGATTTTTCTTTCCTTCATAAGTGGAATTTGTTTCTCTCTTGTCTTGATTCTTTTTACAAGTTTCCTGAGCTTGTAAAAAGCATTTAGATGTGTCAGAACTTACTCCCTCATTTTTTTATAATTTATTTTTTTTATTTTGGACAGCGGAAGCCTTGACCAGGAATGGTGTGTCTCATAAAGTCGATGATTCCTCTGGGTCAATTGGGAGGCGCTATGCCAGGACTGATGAGATTGGGGTGGCTTTTGGCATCACCATTGACTTCGATACAGTGAATAAGATGCCTCACACTGCAACGCTGAGGGACCGAGACTCCATGCGGCAGATAAGAGCAGAGGTAATTGGTCTTCTTTCTGGCAGTTTAGTCTTAGGAATGAGCACTACTTCCTACTGGTGTGAGTTGGATTTCGATGTATTTATGCTCCCTTTCCTTTTTTTTTTTTCTTCATAATTTTACTGATAGACTTGTATCAGACAATGCCCAGATCCCCAAATCTTTTTGGCTTAATTATGAAAGTATCCATTAGTACCTCTGTAATATTTTATAGCTATTTAGATTGCTCTGGGCTCATTCTCCAACGATTTGCTTTTGTAGTTGTTTGTTTACTAGGTGAGAGAAGTGTGATCCCCAGAAGCTGTTGCCATAGTTTTATTGGCAGGCTTCTGGGGGCTTAGACATTTTTATCTTTATATTTCTGTACATGTGTCTGTATAAGCTTTTCTATGTTAGTCCATCCGAAACAGAATTTTAGTTAATAGAAGGGAACCATGGACTGGGACAAGCACAGAAGGGGAACGAGCATGGTAAGGAAAAGGACAATCAGGCCCATGCCTGTAATACCAGCGGCTCAGGAGGCAGAGGCAGGAGGACCAGAGGAGTTGGCAGAGGAGCTCAAAGCCAACTTCAGCAAAAGTGAAACTCTGTCTCTAAATTAAAAAAAATAACAAAATAGGGCTGGGGATGTGGCTTAGTGGTCGAGTTCCCCTGAGTTCAATCCCGGTTACCATCCCTCCACGCCCTCACTCCCTGCAAAAAAAAGGGGAAAGGACAAAGTGGCCACTTTAATGGACAACTGCCTGGCTTATAACAGGTTTTTATTTATGTACTCAGCTTGATAGAGAGTAATGAGGAAAATACAAGACTGCTTTTTTTCCAAAAGAGTTTATGATCTACTTCACATGTCATGGATTTCTAGCTTGTCTTTTTGCAAACAACCAGATTTGGCTACTTAGCACCCGTATTCCCATCTGGCTGTGGTTCTCAGAGAGTGGTCCCTGGACCAGCAACATCAGTATGACCTGGGAATGCAGTAGATCAGCAGAATTTCTACCCCCAACCAATTAAATCAGAAACAGGAAGTTGGAGAGGGAGAGAAGAAGGCAGGGGAGGTGTTAACAAGTCCTGTATGTGATTCTGATGGCACTCAAGCTTGAGGACCACTGCTGTGTGGCAGCCAGTGTTCACTTACGCCTGAGGAACAGCAGGCTTGCCTGACTCCCTTCAAACATGGTACTTGGTTGACTCTTCTTAATTATGAGGTCAGATGTTAAGAGCTCCTGTTCTTAGAATTAAATTTAACACACATAAAATATTTTTTTCTTTTTTTTTTTGTGGTGCTAGGGACTGAACACACAGCCTCAGACATGCACATGAAGTCATTTCAATTGAATGTGGAGATTTAGAATAGCGAGGAAAGCCTTGTGGCAGGGTCGAGTTATCTAGGGGAGTTCCTGGGCTTTGTGAGCCCGAGGAAGAGCATGAATCTAGACCTGGGAGAAGAGTGAGTGTGATTAAGTAAAGGACTCAGGGAGATGACAGGAAACATCTTGAAGGCCCAGCTTATAAAAGGACCTTGTCATTATATATGTTTCAGCTCCATACTGTGCACTACCTCCTGATTTCAGGATGGACCCTCCTTTTGAAAATCTAAGTAAGTTGGTTGCTACTTGGACTTCTTTTTCCTTGTCCCCCAGGTCTCTGAACTGCCCAGTGTTGTCCGCGATCTGGCCAATGGCAGCATCACGTGGGTTGATGTGGAGGCCAGATATCCTCTTTTTGAAGGGCAAGAAACTGGCAAAAAAGAAACAATCGAGGAATGAGAAACTTTGGCAACTTTTGACAGCTTGCTCTAAATAAAAAAATAAAATAACTCTTATCACGTCCAAAACAGCAGCATTGTTATTACTCCCAGGAACTGTATTGTATCCTAGTGATTGCCTGATTTTACTCCCACAATTAAAGTTGAAGGAATTCTGAACAGTTTATAATTCATTGGTCTGTGTTTCCACTTTTTCAACAAAGCTACTTCTCCCACCAGACATGCTTATGGCTTAATGTTAGACATGATTAATTTGCTTTAAAAATCAACAGCATAATTTATTGGGATATAATTTACATACCATAGATTTAGCCTGTACTAAGTGTAATTCACTGCTGTTTAATAGATTTACAGAGCTGTGCAACTGCCACCTCAATCCAATTTTAGAACATTGCCACCACTCCAAAAACTCACATGCCCATTTACTATCATTTCCCATTCTAGCCGCAGCTCTGAGGAACCACTAATCTACTTTTTGTGTTTATAGATTGGCCTTTTCTGTTTTCTTCTTTTTCCGAGAAAGTGACATGGTGCTAGAGACAAGAGTGTCTTCTGGAAAAGGCTGAAGTGGGGTTAGACAGCAGGAGTTGTGGGTGGGAGGCCGCAGCGTGCCAGTGTTGGCGTTGGGGCCCTATGTGTGGGTCATGAGAAGTGGTGAGTTGACAGAAACACCCCCTATTTTGAGGTGTGCTTCATTTTTGGCTTCACTGTAGTCCTGGGAACCGTTGGGCTCCTGATGCTAGAGAAGCACCATCTGTCTTGTCCAACTTAGCACTTCTCAACCATCATTGCATCTTGATTCTGGAAGTTTTTTACTTAGTCTTTAAGGCATTTTACTATTATTGTATTTTTGTACAGAACATTCAGAAGGTATGTTTATTTTTAAGGAAAAAAGTCAAGAGGTTGCAAATTTGAGCAGCTCTGTATTTGCAGAGTTTGAACCTTGTCTAGTAACTAGTATCCTAACTTCCTGCCACAGGTGCTGGGAGGGGAGTGGTGGCCTCCAGAAAGCTTTTCTTTGTTTTGGGTATAAAGAGCAATCAAAGCTGTGATTTCTTAGATGCAAAGTAAGAACAGGATTCTTTCTTGCATCTCATCTCTGGTGATGCCTGTCACAGTGCTGCACATAGTAGGTTTTTAGTAAATAGTCCACGGATGAGTCTTTTTACTTTTGCAGCAATAACTTTTTGATCTAACTCAAGCCTTAGCTAGGCAAATGCTCCATCACTGAGCTACACTCCAGTTCCCAGAGTCTTGAACAAACCTCTATAGGAAGAAAACTTATTCTTCGTCTATCTGGTGCTTTTATAAACATTCATCATTAAATTAGAAGGAAATGAGATTTTAAGTAAACTGAGTTTTCATTTTCCAGGATTACCTCTCACCTCACATTTCCTGTCATCAAGCTCATAATGGGGCACAGAACCCTGTGTTCTCATGTGGCAGTGGGGTTCTTTGCTTCTTCCATTTATTTTCTTCCTTTTACAGTAAGTGCCTCTATAATGAAACAATCACCACAGATTGTTAAGAGCTCATTAATGGAGAAGATATATTAAATAGTGGAATTGCCTACCTTGGTTCCTAAAGGGATTGGAACTGAATCTCTCTTCACTTCTCATTGGCAAACACATTTGTCAGGGGTAGACGCTGGGTGTTAGATCTACAGGCCCACCACACTCTCTTCCTCCTCTAGAGGACAGTGCTTGATTCCTCCCAGGAGAACAAGTCTCCAAGGAGATTTCTATCACCAGTGAGGACCATGGGCTGATAGTGGAGCTTCCTGGTTCTGTCTGTACTGTTCCTGTGTGCCTGATTTCAAGCATAGATGAGTGAAGAGCTGTGTTCTTACATTCTAGATGAAGAAGCTATTTATACACAAGAATGAACACACACACACTTGCATACTTTTGCCCAAGCCTAAGATTTTCACCAAGCACAGGTTTGATCCCCTGAGGTCTTTCAAAACTATTTTTGTTTTGTGTCAAACTGGGCTGGTTGAACACAGCTAGGTAAGTAGTATACCTCAAAAGCTACTCTTACTTCTCATTCCCCGCTCCCCCCCCCCAAAAAAAAAAAAAAAAAAAAAAAAAAAAAGAGTTACAGAAGGATGTAGAACAAGAGACTTTTTAGGAAAGATTTCAGGAAGCAACATAGAAATCAGGACATAACTGTGCAGCGGGCTCTGCCCTAAGATTCTGAATGAAGCTTTCAGCCTTGCACACACTGGAGAGAGNCCCCCCCCCCCCAAAAAAAAAAAAAAAAAAAACAGTGATGGGGAAGACTCAGATCCTAATTAGTTTCTGTGGAATGTATGGAAGTTTTTTTAAGACTTAATTGGACTTGAAGATGTTCAGTCAAATTTCATGTGCAATTATGTCTAGAGAGGAGTGCATATGCTTGGCTCTTGCAGGAATCCAGTACTTTAATATTGTTTAACAGCTCAAACAGCAAATATAGATGGATATTCCACAAAAGGAACCCATCACCAAATCATATAGAAATGATCTTACTCGTTTCATGAGACGCTACTACAGATATCAAGTGTCCCAAGTACTTTGTGATAAGAACTTGCCAAGTTATTTAAGAAGTCAGTTCATTCTAGACCCTCATTTACTATCTTCTTGCCAGGATAACCTTGGGGTCAGGGTAATAGTGGTCTTGTGGAATCTAAAAGGACCAGATGATAAATCTGAATTAGGCTTAAATATGGCTGCATTGGAGTGAGCCAAGAGAAGACCACCTGTGACTTCCTGGGCAAGGACAGGAAGCTTGGAGAGCCTGGTCATGCTGCACAGCCTGGCACCAGCATTGTTGCTGATAGTGTATGTGTGAGGCAGGTGTTTTTGGCATTTGGCCAACACTAAAATGAAATTTAGTTGAAGATTCGGTAAGTGAATGCATGAATGATATTGCTACTCCTCAAAATTCCCCTCTTGTTGCCTGTTCAATCAGTCTTGGTTATTAGGCTGCCCGTAAGTGGTAATCATGTTAAGACTATGTGGGTGGAATTAATTTCTTCTCCAGAACTTCAGATGTGATTTGAGGGCTTTGCCAGGGTTGGCCTTTGGCCTAACCCTGCTCCCTAAGGGTCTCTTTCTGAGCTAGTGTCATGGTCCTCTCATCTGGTTAGTTTATTATCTTCCTTGAATGTTGAAGGATACACCTTTTTAAACCTGTTAACCTCCTTAAAAGATGTTAGTGGGGTCTGTTTTTTCAACCTTGGCTCTGTGGTAACTAACTTGACCTTCTGTAATCCCAGCAGCTTGGAGGCTGAGGCGAGAAGATCACAAGTTCAAAACCAACATCAGCAACTTAACGAGGCCCTGAGCAACTTAGCAAGAACCTGTCTCAAAGTTTAAAAAAATATATATAAAAGGACTGGGGATGTGGCTCAGTGATTAAGTGCCCTTGAGTTCAATCCCTGGTACCAAAAAAAAAAAAATCACCTGAGCTTTAAAAAATACTTGTGCCTGGGCTCCACCTCTACCCATGTCTCTCTGGGTGGATCCAAAGCATCATTTTTTTTTTTTTAAGTCCCTTAGGAGAGCCACTACTACCATTGTACTAAGGAACTTTCTTGCCRTGGGAAATGCTGGAATTTTCTCTCCTGACAGAGGTCTTTGAGACTGCAAATTTATAAGAACCTTCCATCCAGTGAGACAGTAAAGCAGAGGGGGCGGGGATGATAAGCAGTGGGATTTCCCTGACTGTTAGGGAGTCATGTTCTTGCTGAATGGGGGTTGTGGGGCTGAAGAGCAGAGAGGTACCCTGAGCTCCATGCTGCAAATAAAGCTAGCTGGACTTTAGTCCTGCCTTTCCTGTGTCCAGCTGGGGCGGCTACTCTTCATTCTCCATTCCCAAATGCTAGGCCAGGAGGAGGAGCCCTGTCCTGTTTGGGAGCCCAAGTGCTCTGCCCTTCTTTTCTACCACCTAGAACCTAAAGCAGAAGGGAGCTTTGTAGCGTTATCTCAGCCAGTGCCAGCATTTGTTAGGTCTTAAACTCAACCACCAATAATTGCGCAAAAGCAGTTATGCTAACTAAAACAATTTAGACTGATTAAAACCTTTTTTGGCTCATCCAAACTCACTGTTCGGCATCTGAGTGTGAGTTAATTTACAGATTAAGTAGAATGAAATCATGAGTAAGGAAAAAACTCAAAAGATTTAAACCATTAAGAAAAATTGAGCCCAGACTTGCCATTTTCTGGAAAGGAATTGTGAAACAAGCTTGCCAACGACACACCCCTTCCCTGCTGCATCCAGGACCTCAGCTCCCTCTGCACCCTGCATCCAGAATCAGGCTGCTTCTCCCCACCTTCTCCACCATCACCCTGGGCCCAGCCACCATCGTCACCCATCTGGTTTATTGTGAAAGACTTGTCTGTCTCCTGGCTTGTGCCCTTGCCCCTTGAAGATCAATCTTCCACACAGCAGTGAGTGAGGTAATCCCATTCTCCCCCCAAATTCGGCGGCTTTTATTTCAAAAATAACACCTCCAGGTTCTGCCCCTCTCCTAGACCCCACAAGGCTCACACAGTCCTCCTTCCTGCTGCTCCAGCACCACCACCCATCATTCCCTCATAACTGCTGATTCTTCAGGACCTCAAGGTTCACTGGGTGAGGCCTCCCCAGAGTTGGACCTTAAGTTTCCACAGAGCCCTGAATTTTCCCTCCCTCCATGCACACCGTGAAATGGGCTGCTTATCTCCTTCCTTTTCTTCTCTAGCACCTAACACTTCATAGCATATGGGATGTCTTTTTAAAACAGAATGTAAGTTGTGATGGATGCCATGGCGCACACCTGTAATCCCAGTGGCTTGGGAGGCTGAGGCAACAGGATCACGAGTTCAAAGCCAGCCTCAGCCAAAGCAAGATGCTAAGTAACTCAGTGAGACTCTGACTCTCAATAAAATACAAAGTGGGTCTGGGGATGTGGCTTAGTGAGCTAGTGCCTTTAAGTTCAATTCCTGGTACACCCCCCCCCCCAGAAAAAAAACAAAAAACAAAAAAGTGTAAGTTTCATGAGGATTGAGATTTGGGTCTGTTTTGTGGCTCATGTGACTTTATGAAAGAGATTTCTCCTGCAGGGCCGCTCCCCTACTTTAATGTCAGAGTTGGCTTAATTCTAAATGCTCCCACATACACATACTCCTGTGCATAC